CCCTTGGGTGTGTCCAAGACGTGCAGAGTCTGTCGGTGAATTCCAAGCCTGCATGACCCACTGAGCCCCAGGTGGAGCACGCTGGAGCACGAGCGATGGGGTTTGGCGGGTTGGGTGCCTACCGAGATAGACTCAGGGAGCTTCAGAAGGGGGGATGCATGCAACGGGGGAGAGATTTGACCCCTTTCAGCCCCCACCGTCGATGTCCGTGCCAGCAAGGGAGATCGGTGGAGGCTGAATGGGAGGGTCTGGCGGCTGCGGTGCCTAAGCAAAGAGGCTCACAAGGGTGGAAATAGGGTGCTGCAACAAAGAGCAGAGAGAGGGGAGCGATTCCAGCCCCTGCCGTCGCGGGTTGCAGGCCGTCCGCACACAAGCGCCCGCAGGCGGCCGCAGGGGGGGAGGGGGGTCCCGGCGGGTGTTTCAATGTTGACTGGGAGGTGCGTAAACCCCCTGCCAGATAGTCAGAAGGGCCGAAAAGGAAGTATTTCCCGCGACGGACGGTAGGCCGGCCTACCGTCCGTTCCATATGGGTAGGTGTATAGGGGGACACTGCGAATGGTACTAAGAAACGGCGCTATGAGGTGTTTCGAGGTGAGTGACGGGTCAGGGACATCTTATGGTGGTTGGCCCGCGTAGTTGTCGTTAAGAGTTGGGCAGCGTTGTATTGTGCCTTGGCCCAAAAGTTATGGGACCTGGCCGGGGGCAATGAACAGGAAATCAGGTGGGGGTGCAGGCGTTTGGCTGCTGTTGTCATCGACGACGCTCCTTGCCAGCCCATTTGGCGTGGGAAAACCGCACCCAGGTGGTGGCTTCAGTTCAAGGAGCCCCGTCTCAAATATTTGATTCCCTTTGTGCTTGCATCTGCTTATTGTATATTGTTTTCTACTCTGCTGGACGTGAAGATATAAAGTTTAGTGGCTGTTCAAATTTCGGTCAGAATAATATACTCTGCTTATGTATTTTAGATATACCCAAATATCGAACATTATCTGTCATTTATAGCAACTCTATGTAGGAATATGTATATTACATTGAGAGACAACTTCCCGGACATGATTATATTCCTTTTTCTGAATGCGCTTTACTAAGGCGTAGGAATATTAATAAGCGACATGGCATGCGGCTACCGGTTTCGGTCGGCACCGAAGTTTCGGTTGGCCGTTGTGACAAGTATTTCTATAGGCACTCTCTAATTGTACAGGTCATATCTCATCCTATCTTTGCCTTGGATACTCTCTATGGACAGTTGCAAAAGTCAATCACAACTGCATGAAACTCCCATCCAGCATGATCTCAATATTTTCCATTGCCTCGGCGATGTCATCCGCAGGGTCAATCAATCTCATGGATAAATCCCGTTGCAGTTCGTTTGCAGCGACAGGATACTGCAGGGACGTATCACGGTCCAATGTATCCATCTGGTCAACCGAGCGTATGGAGCTGTCTCGATCCAGCTGTGACATGCCCGTGTTTTCCGGTAGGTCCACATCGATGTCTTCGATTATCTCGGTTGTGATGCTCCCCGCGTCGTCGCTGCCCCAGTCCAGTTCTATTTCGGACTCGACTTCTACATCGTGAATGCGCAGTCTTCGAGGCGTGTGGTAGAGCGGTAGTCCAAACTCGGGATAGTCGATTCTTGCAATCCCGGGGAGGGTGTCGCTGACTGGAATCAGAGGCTTCGAAGGCTCGCTGAGCGGTCCTTGAGCCTCCTGATGTTCCATCGGTGTACTCTCCCGCACTATAGCGTGCTCGTCCCATTCCCCTTCCGTTTCCGCTGGCTGATCTTCCTCGGCCTCTTGCGCGCCCGACTCAAAGCTGACGCTGACAGAGGAACCCATAGTTTCCTGCATATCATCTTCTGGACGAGGTATGTCAACCGCTTCCACTTCTCCAGTTGCCGCAGGGGCTTCGGACTGAATCCACGCATGATTGGCATTGTTCTCGAATTCGAAAGGACCACTGCTTAACCTGTCTGCCGGCATGCCACCTTCCCGACGGCGCATTCGCTCAAGGTACGGACCCCATACCTTCGCTCGCCTCTGTTTCCCCTTTGTACTGAACCTCCTTCCCGTGTCCCTTCTCTGCCCGCCTTCCTCACTCCCGCCATCATCCTCTCGTATATCCAACTTCTCCAACGCGTCGATTACTGCCTTCTCAGCTTCCGCCCGTTCCTTCTTTTCTTTCGTGCCCTTCAGCCGCATCGACCGCTTCACCTTCTGACCCGTTTCCTCATCCTCGCATTCCTGTATCCCCATATTTGCGAACTTCTCTGCAGCCTTGTCCAGCTCCTCGTGCAGGCGCCGCGCAAGGAGCTTCGCTTTTGCTCTCGCGAACGCTTCAGGTGGGAGGCGCGCGGACGAGCGCGCCGGAGATGAGGGAGGATCGTAGTGGCGTGGCATCCCTAACCACGGTTGCTTGCTCCCTCGCGCTTTCTTCGGGTTCCCTATCCCGAGTGATTTGAGCAACGCTTCGCGCTTCACGAGCTTTTGCCATTCCTTAGGTGAATCACACTGGTGAGTGCAATCGCGGAGGGAAGCAGTTATTGATGTTGCTTACCTCGAGAGTCATCTGCCGCTTGCGGAGTACTCGGGCGAGCCACATATTCAGCGCAGCTTTGAGACACCTTTTGGTGCGATTCTGGGTGAATTCGCACACTTCCTTCGCGTGGATTGCTTCGGGCGTGGCGATGTAGCCAACCTGGTACAGCGGGGGCTTCTCTGGTAGCGGTGGCATTGCGTGATACGCGTTCTGCGTAGATATATTGTGTGGCACGAGCGCGAGTCCCTTGAGACTGTTCGGCAGGGCGCGATAGACGGTGGCACTGTTCGAAGAATGGAGTGCGCACCGGTGTCAGTTCGACAACACGCAGGTCTACGAACGTCTAGCGTGACGAGAGACGGACGCGCCAGGTCACGAACACGAAGCGTGAGGGGCATGGCGTGAGGGAGCGTGCGCATTGGTGTACGGCGCGTTCGCGGAGTTTCGTCGTGCTCGGACAATGGGTACTATTACTGTTCATCGGCATGTTATATAATGAGTGTTTCCTATCCAACATTGAAAGCTGTCTGCACGCGTACCTTGACCCTTAATGGGCGAAAATAGGTTTATTCGGGGACGGGAGGGCGTAAATCTAATGTCACACATCCGTTCCAACTCGTGACTGGAAGACGAACTCAGGCTTGCACATCGACATATAGTTGTCCTGCCTCGCATGCTGCTTGGCGGTAGGTCTGCACTCCTCACGATGAGAGGGGATCTTGCTACAAAGACCAGCAACAAGCAAAACAAACCTATAGCGCTCAGCACGACGGGCATGGGGCTCGAACCCAGAATCTCCAGCTAAAGGTGAGGGTAAACCGGAAACTGGCGCGTTAACCATTACGCTAGTCCGCCAGCTGCGGTGGTGTCCAGCTGGCGTGCACGGACGCCAAACACATCGTAAGTTGTGATTTTGGTCTGTATTGCCTGTATGAGCTCATCTCTGACACCCGACTCTGGGCAAGTCAAACCGTATCGGAGCAAAAACGTCTGATAAGAATATAAGAAGCGGTCGGTAGTTGGCGGAACTTCGTGCTTGGTGCGCGAGCAGGCTCGAGTGCGCCGTGTAAAGGCCCAATAACTGCGTTCTCAACTAGAGACAAGACGTCCGCGCACTGGCACGGAGCGTGCCCTCAGGCGTACCTAGTCTGGACAAAATGGACGGCCATAGATAGTCCGCCTAACCGAAGGCATATTGGAGACTGTCCGGTTTCGCAGTACCGAAGCTGTGGTGGATCCGAGCACCCTTGTCTACGAAGCGCGCGAAAAGAAATGAATCAATTTACTCGCTGCCGGCAAGTCGAGCAGAGACTTGGTCGGGTCAATGTAACAGTGCCTGAAAGACAAGCTCGCCACCCGGATATTGGGGTTCCGGGGTCCCCGTCCCACGTGCTGTTGGGAGAGAGGTGGACGCCGACGGCGGCGTCGTCGAGCGCCATTGTACTTTTGCTGTGATTGTATCGTATACCTGGAGGCCTCGGGAAGGTCGTCGTTCGCTCGTTTGCACGTCGTCGCTGGGCGGGTTCTGGTGAATAAGACGCGGAGGTGAGTAGAGCGCCTGGGAGTTGTTGTCCCGTGTTTGATGGCATGTGCCGTGTGCTCACGACTTGCTCTGTTCTCTATCTGCGCTACGAACCCGTCCACGACCTTGCACGACCGCGAGCCAGCGCTGGCCAGTCCAAAGCGATGACTCGCTTCGGCGATTTTCAGCCTTTATGTACCAACACGCCCTCGTATCCCTGGTGCAATCTCTTCTATCGCCAGGCAAGTTCAGCGCTTGTATTTCGTTCGAACTATCCGCTGACCTTACTATAGCTCGAGCATGAATCCCCCTCTACGCTCGCCGGTGTCTCTGCAGACGCCGTCTCGGCACCCGTGGGCATCAACCCCGTCTGCGGCGCACTCCGACTAGGGCACGACGGCTCGCTGGGCAACGTCGCCAATATCGTCGCATGCGCCGTCAGCATCATCTTTGTCGTATTGCTTATCGTCTTTACCAGCCGGCGCACGGCAGCTGTCGGTGAGTTTTCCTCGTACAATCAGCTTCAGCACCCGCCTGAACCTTGCTCGAGGCCGCGTCGAGCTGCGATACTTTCAAATCCTCTACCTCTTCACGCTCCCCTTCCAGCTGGTCACGACCGGCGGCTTCCTCGAGCAGGGCTCAACAGCCCTCGTAGTCGTCACCGCCATTCACGCCGGCCTCGTAGCCGCGCTCTTTTGGACCTTGCTAGCGAATGGAATAGTCGCCACGCAGGTGGTCGAGGACGGCACACTTAGCTCGCTCATAGTACGTAATACCAGCACACATGCCTTGCAGCTGGCTAACGGGCGCAACAGCCCTTCCACTTCTTCACCCTCGCGTTCTTCGCCGCGACAACGTACATATCCCTCGATGTCGCTTTTACGTACACGAGCACGTTCGGTCCGTCAGTGCCCCCGCAGGCGCTGCACAGTACTCCGCTCTTTGTGTTCACGAGTATCTGGCCCGGCGCGTACGTCCTTGCGTTCCCCTCCCGCTAACCACTGGACCAAGCCTTCATGTCTCATATAGCGCGGCGATCCTGTACTTCCTCCTGATGCTCTACATCGTGCTCGGCATCCTGAACGAGGTCCGGCCCGTGTGGTACTTTATCCTCGCCGCGACCGTCTTCGTCCTTTCCCAGCTCGACTACTTCCTGCTCAATAAGGTTATCTGCAGGGTGCGTCTGCTCTCTTCCCACGGATTTACGCAACCCAAGCTAAAGTCAATGTTTATTGCTACTGGGCCCTATATTCATTGGATGGTGCCGATTTATTTGCTTTGGCTGTCAATTAGGGGAGCAACGCGAGAGTGGACGGGTCGTTCGTGGCGACGATACTCGAGACGGCGGCTGTGGGCATACTATACCTTGCGTGGAAGAGTATCACGGAAGGTAACTATCCGCCACATTTTTGCTATCTCCCTACTCTCCCTCCCCCACAACGCATTCACTAACGTCACATCCACGCAGACTCGTGGGACGACGCTGCGTACTATCCATGAAAGCCGTGCGCAGCGCATGAAGAGGGCGACGATCTATCCATCTACCTACCTGTTGTGTGTTGTTAGATTCCACACCCGTTGCAGGCGAGCTGCTTTGTTTAATAACTCATCGTATTGGTTGCTGCTCTTGTGTGTGCTCTCTGTTTTCGCGTATTGTTATAATCTACCTGTTCCACCGCAGATCCAGGGTGACCGTTGCGGGCACTATTGCTTGCTACGTTTATAAGCCCGGGCTTCCCGGTCGCGCTCCAGACCCATGCCCATGAATAACACCCCTGCGATAGTCCTAACGTAAGCCCGCTCAGACGAACGCAACGCAGCTTCTCGCCCACCCGCCTCGCAGTGTGAATGGCGACTTGCGCTCGTGGAATGTAAATTCCTGGCCGGCTGGCGTGGGTGTGGCACAGGTAACTCATGCTCGCTGGCTAAAGCCCCCGCGTCGATACTCGGACCCGGTCAAGCTCCAAACATCCGCGTCTGCTTACCTTTCTCCTGGGACGCGATGCATGTCCTTTTGCAAATCCGGCTTCTTCTGAGTCGCAGCGGGTGCGTACTTCCTGGAATCTCGAGATACGTATGTTATGACGCTACGCGCACTGAACCGGTTCTGCCAGAGGTCGGGAATGCGTTTATATATAGAGACCCTGGAGGTAGATGTGACGAGCAGGTACAGTATCGTAGTATTACATTTGCCGGAAACCCAACCGCGAGGATTCAAACCGAAAGCAGAGGTACAAGAGCAGGGGTAAGAGACGTAGCGGGTCCGTAGGTGGCTCGTCAGGGGTAGGAGGAGATGGAGTGTTCGTGAGAATTACAGAGCGCCGCAGGCAGCGCGATAATTAGGACAATGTAAGGAGCGGGGAGCGAGCGTTCGTGTCCAGTCGTGAGTGCGAATCGGCGCTCTAGGGTGGTGCATAACAAACAAGCGAGGCCAGCAACAAAGAAGATCGAAGACCGAAAACAAAGATAAGAGAAAAATCAATACTAAATGTCGAGTGCAGCGGTTATAGCAGCTTCTGGACGACCATCTGCTTGACCTCGACCTCGACCCAGCGCTCGTCGTCCTGCCTGCGGCACTTTTGGATCCCGTCCAGCGCCGACCTTACGGCCTTCTTCACCCGCAGCGACGGCTGCCTGATGTGATTGCTGTTCTCCGCCTTTGGCACTTCGGGCGGCGGCGGCACGGCGTAGTTGTACTTTTCGCGCGAGAGCACTTCGATGGGGCTGGCGGGCACGTTGGGGTCGCGCGTGCGCCGCTTTTTGAGAGTGCGCCGCCGGTTGGCGAGCGCGCGCGCGCTGGAGGTGAGGTACTCGATCGCGTCGGGTGGTGTCACGGTTGACCAGGAGGAGCAGGACGCGCTGTCCGCGTTGTCCTCGTCGTCGGATGGGGAGCCCGGCTCGGTGACCTCGACGTAGTTCGACGTCGAAGTGGTGGTCATCGAGAATTTCGAGCTCTAGAAGCCGCATTGGCGCTGGAGCCGATAAGAGAGCGAAGACGGACATACCATGTTCATCTCCACGATGACGGCCGAGTCCGGGAGGGGCGAGGAGACGCAGGTGCGGCCGCCCTCGCAGAAGCCCTCGTCGCCGATCGTGTTGCGCTTGGAGCGATGCTTGCTGCGGGTGGGCGACGTCGGCGGGGAGAGCTCGCCGTTCATGCACGCGTCCGCGAACGCGGCCTGGGGCTGGCGCAGGAGCTTCTCGTCGAGCCTCGCGACCGCGTTCCAGTCAAAGCTCTCCCTGGCCTCCTTCGGCAGCTTGCGGAACAGCGACTTGCGGAGCGAGCTCGCCTCGGACCTCGGGTTCGGATGCGGGAGCTGGACGTGGAACGCGGCGCCGGGCGACTTGACGGCGGGCCCGTGGAACGCGCCGAGGTAGCCGTCCATGTCCATGAGCGCGTCGCAGGCGAACGTGAGCGGGCCGGACTCGGCCTCGAGCGCCCAGACGGCGGAGTTCTGGACGGTGGCGGGGAGCGCGAGGCGGTCGATGGTGAGCACCTGGGACTGGGCGTCGACGGTGGACGGCTGGTCGAAGGACTTGGCGTCGCCCTCGGCGGGGAACTTGCGCAGCTCGGGCCCGGAGAAGGTGACCATGCCGTCGTCCGGGTCCCAGATCGCGGCAAAGGTGAGCCCGGTCTGCGGCGGGATCACGTCGGACCAGCGCGAGTTTCTTTCATCGGTGCCTGGCGGCGCGAGGAACTGCGGGTAGTTAGGATCGGAAACCAAAGGACAAAGGGATGTTGCACACCTGCTTCGGGCTGGTCGGGAGGCCGTGATGTCTCTCTTTGTCCTGTGGTGTGTTCAGAGGGCTCGGGCGGTGCGGGAGACGCTGGTGGTCGCGGGGCGCGGTGGGCGCGCGCGCTCGGTGTGCTCGCGGGGTCGCCATTGTTCGCTCGTGGTCGCGTTCCGTCGCCGTCGGGCGTCTGCGCAGGACAAAGGGCGGACAAAGGAGAGGAGTCGCAAAGGAGAGAGAGGAGGGTCGAGGTGTGCCCGCACACGTCGACGTTTAGCTCAAAAGAAAGGAGCGACTTGGAAGCAGAAGCCAGGGTCAGAATATCATCAAGCCGGCCTCGAGGTCGGGAAAATCCAGCGCAAGCCAGAACCCCCAATCAATCGCCCATTACTCCCGATGAGAAGAACGCCCGGATAGGAAGGCGGTCACACCCGTCACACTGTGGCTGAGCGGACGCTGGCGAGGCAATCTGGCGGGCACGGTCAGCTGCCGGCATTCGAGGCTTCCTGACATATCCAACGCCTGATAAAACATTTCGAACGAGTGTGTGTCAGCGCAGAGCAGCAGGAACGCGAAGCAGCAGCAGCGATGACGCAGCGTACACAGGCAGAACGCAGGACGCAGAAGTAGAGCTCGCCGGAACACCAGCCAAAGATAAGTCTGCCATGAAACGGAGATTAGTGGCAGACACGAGCGCAGTGCGAAGCCCACTAGCGCGTACGGACCTTACGGGCGGCCGTGGAAGGCCAAATGCGTGGGGGGCCCAACCTGAATGTATTAGATAGGGACTGCATTTACCGTCGCACCGGTGAATTCCTGGCAGAGCTAAACTGTGCCATCAACAAGGCTATACTTGGGACCTGGGATAACATGGCATTCAGATAGCGTCCAGAGGATTATCGCTGACTTGAGCAGGCCGTTGCGCGCGCGCAGTGCTCACACCTTGTCGCGCAAGAATAAACTCAGGCGTAAGCTCTACAGACATTTATCCAAATATCCCCTGGGGCCGTCAGCAATTCAAAGTCGACGATAGTCGTGTACGGGGAACTCACGCGATGGGGCTTGTGCATTCAGTCGCAGCAGGATGAAGACATGATTCCTAGTGCCGTACGGAAAGACAAAGTGAAGACACGAGCCCGCAAAGAAATTGAGATGCAAGAGAGGATATTTGATCCATGAGGCAGCGGCGTCACATACGACGCTCAGGCCAACCATCCGGGCTGCTTCTTACTGCCGATCAAAACCATGGCAACACCGAGCTCCCCACCTTCAGCGCGGACGGTTATCATCGAACGTATGAAGGTAGCTGAATATTCTGAACATACAAAGGCGTTTGTGTCGGACGAGTTGAACTTGTCATGATGCAGCAGCCACCGCACAAGTATAGAGCGGGAGATGCCGGGCCCCTCTGATTGGCCGGGAGCCGCAGTTAGACGCAGCGCCGCAGCGCTAGCCAGCGTTCCTCCTCCTCGAGCGCAACGCTCAGCTCCCATTCATGCCATGACCTCGACCGGTCTTTCACGCCGGCGCATCCCAACCCACGCTTCCTCCTCCGCCGCGCTCGACGACGACGACAACGACGGCTCGCGCGCGCCCTCGGCGAACGGCTCGACAACACATGTTAACGCCCCTGCGAGCGGGCTGGGGAACGGCGGCGCCGCGTTCCAGGGCGGGAGCAAGATTGCGTACGACCCGCGGGACTTGGACAGAGATAATGAGGAGATACGCGCGGGCGGGAAGATGCCCCGGCTCACGCTCATGGAGGAGGTTCTCTTGCTCGGACTCAAGGACAAGCAGGTGAGCCAGCCTTCTCTCCACCCAGGGGGTTTGTCGCCCCTTCTCGTCAACTCGCATCCTTGCATGTGGTTTTACGAGAATGTGCAAATCTTCAAAACGGTACTCTGTGTAGACAGACGTCTGACCGCCCTCCTTCCGTGTCACAGGGATATCTCTCGTTCTGGAACGACAACATATCATATGCCCTCCGGGGGTGCATTCTAATAGAACTTGCGCTACGGCGACGCATCGCTGTGGTCAAAGACCCCAATCGACGCCGAATCCCGCTCACGGAACGTTTGGTCGAGGTGATAGATGACAGACAGACGGGGGAGACGATTCTGGACGAGACGCTACGGATGATGAAGGGACAGCAGGAGGAAAAGCTCGGGATCAACAGCTGGATCGATTTGCTAAGCGGTGAGTTGTCATCTCCTCTGTATGTCATACTTGGTGGTGTATTCGGCGGATACGAAAAGTCTCAGACATCATCACTTTACGTGCATGCACGGTTTCAAACCGCTTCTACCTTGACCCGCTGTTTCTTCGGGGGCGTTAAACATTCTTTAACTCGGACCCGTGTTTCTCACTCCACATATGCGAATTGCTCCTGGCATTCAGGCTGAAGGTGTCGTGACTCCCAACAGGCGAAACATGGAACGTGATGAAAATCGGCTTCCAGCTCAAGCAGGTCCGCGAGCGGCTCGCAAAGGGGCTCGTCGACAAGGGCGTCCTGCGCACCGAGAAGCGCAACTTTTTGCTCTTCGACATGGCCACGCACCCCGTGGCGGACGTGCGCACAAAAGACAGCATCATCGCGCGCGTCGTGCACCTGCTCACCGCGACGACGTCCTCCGTCCCGCCCGCCGCGCTCGACAAGGAGGGCACGCAGTGCCGCGCGATGCGCGCGGTGTGCCTCGTGTGCGCGGCGTACGCGGCGAGCGTGCTCGACAACGCGTTCGGGCGGCTCACGTACGAGGACCGCGAGGCGGCGTTCCAGCGGTGCGACGAGATCCTCGCCGAGTTCGCGTGCTGGCCGTTCGGGAGCGGCGCGGGCGCGAGCACGCCCGGCGCGCGCCGCCGCGAGGCGAGCAGGATCGGGCTGGGCAGCACGGGCGGCGTGAGCGGGCGCGAGGCCGTGCTCGGGCTGCTGCAGGAGGTGAAGAAGGAGATGGTCGGCGAGGAGGACCTCGGGTTCGAGCTCGTCGCGGGCGTGCTCGAGGTGCTGTCGAAGCTCGATTCGCTGCTGTAGCGTGGCTTTTGCTGTCTCGCACTTTCGTATGTCATCTTTAGCTCTACTGTGTCTAGTTTTTAATATATTTATATCCCTTGGGAAGGATGATCCGGGTAGATTTGAGTCGTGCACGAGGCACCGATGCTGTCGCATTATGCGTTTCTTGTTTGCAACGTATGGACTCATCGCTGTCTCCCGCGTTGGCGGGCGTGAGTGATGGTTGTGTCCGATGTCGCCAACCCAACTGGCTGAGATTCACTGCCAATATCTGCACATAACGTACACCGTGCCTCTTCTCCGCTTCCTTATTCCCATGGAGGTCATTTCACCGTTCTCAAGCGTTCGCATCCCTGGCTCGCAGGCGCAGTCCCGGACACCGGGGCCCGTCCGCGGGACCGATGTCAGCTGCAGCGGGGCCGGCTGGCGGTGCCGGAGTAGCCGGAGACCGCAGGGTGCCGGCGGCTTCGCGTCTATTGTCGCGGCTCTGAACACAAACGGAACTAATGCCGCCACCCATGTTGCTAGCGAATCTATTAGCGAGAGAACGTTCTCGCCGTGCGTTGTTTATATTCCTCGTAGTGGAAGGCCGTCTGCTCGCGTTTCCTTCCCGCTTGCGTCCTGCCTGAACTGCGTGCACCCGCCATGGGCAGGCTTTCCATCGAACATGACCCGCTCGCGTGCATGACCGCCCCTCCCGCGAATGAGACATGGGAGCAGAAGCTGGCTCGGGAAAGGCGCGAGGCAGAGGCAAAGCGAATATCGGACGAGATAGACCAGAAGCTCAAAAGCGAGCGTGCGGCGTTGAAGAGGAACAAGAAACCGGTCAAGGTGCTTCTGCTCGGGCAAGCAGAGAGTGGTCAGTCGTATTTCATTCCTGCATTTCATTTCAGCGGCTGAGGGGGCTCCGTTCATTCATGCCCATTTATTAATAGGCAAGTCCACGACGTTGAAGAGTAAGTCCTCCGCCCTCGAGGCTCGTGCGCCTGGGAATGCGAGCTGATAGTCTTGTCCCACTCCACAGATTTTCAACTTGCCTATGCTCGGGAAGCTTGGCAGCAAGAACGGACGTCCTGGCGAGCCGTAATTCAACTCAATCTTATCCGATCGATACGCACCATCCTCGACGCCGTCGTCCAGGAAATGGCAGGCAATCCCCCGTCGTACGACTCGGACGACGAGAACCCAGTCAGCCCGACTTCGCGTCCGCCCCTGCAGTTCTCGGAAAAGCACCGTCTGCTGAAATTCCGGCTACTGCCTCTCCGGAGGGTAGAAGCTGACCTGAAGCGGCGGTTGGGCGCGGCTAGTGAGGAAATCTCTGCGTCTGTGTCTGTCCACGGCTCGTCTACGCCTGAGCCAGGTGTGGATGTCCCACCTGACTTCGCTGTGCGCTCATGGAAAGATGCCTTTCAAAAACCTTCCATGTCTCCGAAGCCGTCCAGCGTTGGTCATGGCCAGGTAGATTCCGATGATGCCACAGACGTTATCGCGGAATGCAGGGAAGACATCAAGGCCCTGTGGGAGGATCCCGTCGTGAGGCAGGTCCTCAAAAGGCGGAACGTCTCGATCGAAGAATCCTCCGGCTTGTAAGCCCTCCTCTTCCCTCTTGCGACCCTTACTTCCTGTATGACCTTCTTTACCTCCACCTAGCTTCTTGAATGACATTGACCGCATCGCTGTTCATTCGTACATGCCCACGGACGGGGATGTCATGCGGGCGCGGCTTCGCACCGTAGGCGTCCAGGAGCATCGGATAACCTTCGAGGAGGGTGAGTTACGTGTATCCAGTCCGTGATTCAGATATCTGCTACAAGTTCCGTCCGCTCACTCCGTCTTTTTCCACCAAAGGGCCCGATATCGGCCATGAATGGGTGATCTACGACGTGGGCGGGTGTCGTACGTCGGTCCGTATATCTTCTCCTCACCTGTCACGTGCTATGCATCTCATCTCGTGCCCAGCGGGCAGCCTGGGTGCCGTACTTTGAGGACGTGAACGCGATCATCTTCCTCGCGCCGGTGTCCGGCTTCGACGAGCGCCTGGCGGAGGACCCGAGCGTCAACCGGCTCGAAGATACGTTCCTGCTCTGGAAGTCGATCGCGTCCTCGCCGCTCCTGGCGGGCACCGCGATCATCCTATTTATGAATAAATGTGACATTCTCGAGCAGAAGGTCAAGCGCGGCGTCGTGGTCAGGAAGTACATGCCCAGCTACGGCGACCGGGAGAATAGCACCACGCATGTCTTGAAATGTCGGTCTGCGTCTGCTTCGGGCGTCGCTCTCACTGACGCATCGTGTAGATCTTCGTGGTAAATTCAAGGAGATGCTCAAGCAATACTCGCCACGCCCACGGCCCTTCTATGCGTATGCTACTTCCGTCGTCGTGCGTCCATACCGCTACGCACTCTAAATATCGCTGACACTTTCACAGGATACGAAGGCCACTGCCGTTACTCTTACCTCCGGTATGTATTCTCAGGAGTCTATTCATTTGGAGGTCCCTCATTCGTTCGCAGTTAGGGATGCGATCCTGCGTGATCATCTGAAGCAGGCCGACTTTGTCTTCTGATCTCGTCGACGCCGTCATCCAGTCGCAAAATTATCTCTAGAGTGCTCTAATCTACCTTATACACGCACGTAGTGTTGTTGTTGTGGTTGTATAGTGTATACAGACGCACTGCTCCGGCGTCCGTGCCGCGCACCGACCGAGCAATCAGTAATAAAAGCATTATTTATCTTAACCTATGCGTGCGAGGCATACAAATACACGATCTTGCACTTCTATCTATTATACAGTGCGCAGCGAATCATAGCGGCGCCCAGCCATCGCCAGCGGGCCACTTGAGGTTATCCCTCTCCGCATAGGCATGCCGCACCCGCGCGCGGTCTCTATCTCTGTCGTCCTCGACGCTGTCCGACGCGGAGTCGAGCGCCTGGTCGACGTCGGGATCGAAGCCCTCGCCGGAGCCGGAATCCGCCATGAGCGCCTCCTCGCCCTCCTCGCGCCAGTGCGCCGGGTTGAAGTGCGCGTGGCTGACGAAGCCGCGCTTGCTGAGCCCCGCCTCCGCCTTGTACCGTGCGGCGTCGAGCTTGGGCTGCGCGCGGGTGTGCAGGTTCGACAGCGTGCGCTGGAGATTCGCGATCGGGTCTGCCGCGCCCGCGTTGGCGCTGCGATCGCGGGAGGAAGACAGGGAAAGATGCCTGGAGAGCGTGTGGAACGCCGGGGCGCCAGATGCTGTGTAAGAAGAAGCAGAGTATGAATATGAATCGGGCTTGGAGCTGGAGATTGGCTCGGTGAGATCGACGGAGCCGGGGAGCTGCACGCTCTCGGGGCGTCTGCGGCGCGGCGGGGGCACGGGCGGCGGCGCGGGGTGGTGCATCGACTTGGAGCGGCCCACGCGCGCGGTGCTGCCCGCGGTCGGCGAATCCGGCGGCGACGAAGGATCGAAGACGCTCGCGAGCGGGGGCTTGCGATCGGGGTGCGTGGGAGGGGGCGATTTGGGCTTGGAAGGCGCGGCGAGATTGGACACCGGGGGCTCGGGTGACCGGGGGCGCGAGGGGGAGGCAGAGGGGGACCGGTGCTGGGGCTGCGATTTTGAATAGGCACGCGCGGCGACGGTGGCTGGGCCGAACGGGTTCACGGACGCGTGCGCGACCTGCTCGAATGACCTCATGGAGCCAGCGGATGAAGGGGGGCTCGCGCGCCGGTGGCGTGTGGGAAGCGCGGGGGCACTCTTCGTGTCCGTGCCGGAGCTCGAGGAGGCGGAGGAGGTTCCCGGGGACGCGGTGTCATTGTGACGGGGATCGAGCCGCGTGCCGGGGCTGAAGCTGCGCGAGCGGGTGCTGCCCCCGGAGCCGGAGCCAGAGCTGCTCTTGACGACTTCGAGGATGCGTTCCTTGCCCAGCCGGTCCTCCATCGCGCGCACGGTCTGCCCGACCTTGCTCGCCTCGAGCGACTGGCGCATAAGCGGCGTCACCGCGTGCGGGACCCTGTTCGCAGAGGACGCGCCCGCGCCATGGGCTGTAGACGTAGTCGAGGTGGACGCAGACGCAGATCCGGTCGGAGATACCACCAGGCTGGAGTGGCGCGGGGGAAGCAGCGGCGGGGGCTTCCTGGGGGGCAGGGGTGGGACCTTTTGCGGGGCAGGGTCCTCGGCGCCGCCGCCGCTCGATTTTTTGAGCCTGCGGGACAAAAATGGGTTGCTCGGTTTGAGGGGCACGGGGGGCGGTTCGCGGTTCGCCGGGGGAGGGGGCGGCCGCGTGTCGGGATGCTGGGGGGGAGGGCGTGCTTGGGATTCGGACGACTTGCGCCGGATGTACTCCGGAGATGGGAGGGGCGGCTCGGGGGGCGGAGATGCATCGGAGGCACAGCGCAGGGGAGAAGGGGACTGTGACGGGTAGGGCGAGGATCGATGACGCTGTAGGGGCGAATGGGAACGCGAGGCTTGGGACTGCGGATACGCTGGCAGAGACGAGGTCAGCACGCGACGTTCGGTGAAGCACTGCGATTTGCCTGCTCACCTTGCACAAAGACAAGGCTTCTTTCTACACTCTTGCCTGAACGGACATGTGTGACGAGGCGCAGAACCGCGAAGAATTGACCCCCGGCCAACGTATCGCCAGGGTTCAGATTCGGGTGAAACAGCCTGAGGATCTACCCCGACGTCAGTTTAAATTCAAACGCTTGCAGTCTACGAGCTCACCGAGTCCAAGTCTCCCGCCGATAATTCTGGGTATCTGCCTCGCAGCCACGCCCTGGCCTCTCTGACGCCCACAGAAATTCGTTCATAGTAAGAGTCGTCGTGCGGAGTCTTGCCATCGTCGTCGCAGTCGATAAGGTCGTGCAGGCATGAGGTATAAAGGTCGTACTCGGCGTCGTTCAACGCTGAAACATGAAGAGTGAGCGGACGCATCGAAAGTGAACCAGCAGAACGCCCGCGTCCAGAAACACAGCGCGATTGCGGCTTGGGCGGTAGATGTCACGTGCCGCGCGCATAGCTTTCTCGGTGGCTGTTGCGACTCTAACTTCTTCGCTTTGTCTTTGTCTATGTGAGACTTGGACATTGTGCACTCTGATGTCTACATCCTTGCTCATCGTTCACCTCAGAGAAGACCGACTTGGTTTTGTCTAAAGTGTGCGGTGCACTCGACTCTCCCGGTCCCATCGGAGTCATGCTGCTGACATATCGGCGTCTGCATCCGGGAAACACAGAGTTCCAGCTACTGAATCTGTTTTCGCTGTTCCAAACCGTTCATCATGATGAAGGGACGGAAACTGAGGAAGGTACATCGCATCCAATGTTCTACGAGACGACATTGATTGTTTAGATCACTGTCTGATACCATGCCAACTTGCTCATCGGTCCCCATCGGATGGCCTCTTTTTTCTTCAGGACAATAGGATCCGATATGGTCCGATGAGCAAGGATGGCAGCTATCCTTTGATGATCAATCGGTGCCTCCGCAGCGGCGTGGAGCAAACAGATAGCGTAAAACATGCCCTTCCGTGCCAACGGGTACGAAAGCGGAAGGCCGTCTCGTTCACCCCAACAGGAATCGGCTTGAGTGGAGACTGAGCGTCTCGTCTTATCTATATGAACCTGGTTCTGAAGAAGCAGCTCGTCTATCCTACGGCCAGCAAGACATACACCTCCCGTCCACCCTCCGTTCACATACCTGCTACCCTGCGACATCCTAAACGTATTGAACGTTCCCTCACCGCTGGATACTCTGCGCGGGCTGGATGCGAGCGGCATGACATATGCGCGTCGGATGCTCATCCTCTGGCATCCATTCCGTGTCGCTGCATCCAACCTGAGCGACAAATCGCACGTCGAGGGGATATATAGGCAAGGCCCCGCCATTCGATTCATATCGCCTCCGTAACCAGCCCTGAAGCTCCGGCTCGTTTCTTATTGCCTACAGTGAGACATAAACTTCGGGATCGGCGGCTTTGCGAATAGTATCATTGCAGCTATCTCATTCGCATACCTCTCCAGACGCACACAGCCCGTCTTCCCTCCATCCCCATCACATTTTCGCTGCACGAGACAAGACACCACCTACATGTCCCGAACGTCCTCCCACACTGACAGATATCCGGCGCGGGGTTGATGCCCGGGAGTGGATATTCGCCCGTCGTAGACCCGCTCTCTGGCATCCACCCTCTACTGCTATCTCAGTCTCGGTGTGTGTGCGAGTCTCAGGCTTCTCTCAACGACGCTATGGTAAATTGCGCGTGCTGATAACATCCGTGGATGATAAATACCAATGCGCTCCTCTCGGTACTGGCCAGACACGCGGAGCTCCCCCGCGCGACGGCGTTCTTAGGCTTCCTCGCGCATCCAGCGGTCCGCAATACTAAGGACGCCCTATTTTTTCTTCTGCTCCGTAGACCCCTCGTTCGCTTGAGACGCCAGAGGCAAAGCACCGTCCAAATCGATGGTGCTCCCGGCAATCCGCTCTCGTGTTCGTTTCTGAACTCAACACACGGCGGAGACGCGTGCCCCTAGTGGTTATGTTAGCTTTGACTGCTCACAACAATAGTATATCTTCTGCGTCCTATATGTCCGCGGATCGTGGCTGGGCGTCGGACACCTGCAACTTGGGCTCTCTTCTCCTCCCGTCTTCCATGCCGCTCGAAGCGTCGTCGGCTGCTTGCGTTTCTGGATGCAGCAATACATCGACTATCTACCATGCCTCCGGTCCACTGCACTTGATACTGCCTTGGGTGGAGGCGGCCTTCGACCCTGTCTCTGGCTGCGTTTTCATGGCTGCTGAACGGCCTACGAAGGCAGCGACATATTGCAGATGGAAGGAATATACAGGTGAGACCCCGTGTTCGTACGTATTACAACTAGTAGTGGTACAACGACCTATGTCTATCTCTGATGCAGCATCTAAAAGGACCAAGTAAGGGGAGAGTACTCGATTCAGACCTTCCCTCGACGCGATTGTCTTCGTGACGCTTCAGTTTTCTTCACCGCGGCTCTAGTCCTAGTCGCGATCGCGTCCATATCCGTCTGTCTAGCCCGTTTCTTTCTCGACCCCGCCCGAGCCTCGTCCTCACCGGCTGCGACTTGCTTCCGCTTTTTAGGAGCTACCGGGCCAGCCGAGCCTGGGTCTCTACGGTGTCTCGTCCCGGTAATAATGACGCCCTCGTCTTGAGCTACCTTGCGCTTCTGGTCTTTCCTGCGCTTCTGAGCTGGACGAGCCATTGCAGCGGCCTCCTTCCCCCTCGTATTCCTCTCGCGGCTTTTACGCTCTGGGATGGCTTCCTGGTCACCGGGCACTGTCGGTTGCTCTGCCTCTTGAAGTTTTTCGGGCAGCGCTCTTCGGATCACCCGTGGCCTGTTCACCATTTGCTTAAACGCTAGCAATGCAAAATACTTCGTGTCTTTCACGATATTCAAGTAGGGAATCGGTCCGTCTGCCACCTCATCCGGCCAGCCATCCGCGTCCAGCGCTCCCTGTATGGTCGAAATGAAGCTCTCGTGCGTCATCTTGTTCCTGTGCTCCGCAAAGAACTGTGCCCGCTTCTCCTCCGGCAGAAGTGTCTCCACGGGGTGCTCGTACATACTGACGGCCATCTCGCCCAGCTTGATGAGACACGCGGTGAGCGGCGCGTTATCCTCGACGACGAGCGTCCCCAGGTCCTTCTCGAGAAACAACTGCCCCAGCTCCCTCCGCTCAGGGTCGAACACTTTGTGCACGAAGTCGCACCCGGGCGGCCTGCTCACGCCGGGGTCCCCGATGCCGTCGTACCGAGCGCGCATCGTGCACCGCGTGTGGCAGAGGACGACGTATAGCGTTACCCAGAAGAAGGACTCGAGGTCGTGCCAGGGCTTGTGCGCGACGTCTCCTTGGTGGTACCCGGCTTTGGCGCACGCCACGAAACTAGGCGTTCCCTGTGCGCGGAGAGTAAGTACTCGGAACCGTACAGCCTATTAATACGGGTATGGCATACCACGTCAGCTTTCAGCTCCTCGTCGTAGTTCGGCATGCCCCTAGCTATCGCATACTCGGGGTCGATGAGGAATCCTTTGGCACCCCCTTCCTTGTCCGGGTCTGCGCTGATCAAGATATTGTTCACACTGATGTCGCGATGCATGACACCGTTCTCGTTCATTGCCTTGTGCCCTAGTTTCCCGTTTGTTCTGTTAACAACATAAAACGACGTTCAAATATGCGTACCTTCGACGGCGTCCCGAATAGCCTCCAGCAGCTGTCTTGTCGATTTGAATCGGGTGAGAGGGATGCCGACTGACCGCAGGATACACCGATGGTGGACAAGGTCTATCGGCACCATCTTCCGATGCCCGTCCATCTCGGTGAACGGTATGCCGCCCATGCGCTGCGGCCTGCCCGTACGTCTGTCAACCACATCGACATCGTTGTCGAACCGCGCGACCCCCCGCACCACTGCTTTCCCGGCGTATATGGCATCATACACTTGCCCCTCTGTCCAAGCTCGTTCTGTGTCTCTCCAGGCGTCCTTGATGATGACAAATTCCGAGTCTTCTTCCCCAGGGAAGGTATCTACCTTGGTTGCGAGCCAGACCCGCGTGCCCACACCGTGCAGGTCTTTGCTAGCAGCCAGCGGAGGCCCGACGGTCACGAAGGAGTCATACTCGCCCTCTGCACCCTTCCTCGGTATGTCAATCCGGATGCTCTCGTTGATGAGCGTACCGCCTTGACGTCGAGGCGTGTATTTCGTGACTATTCGTAGCTCCACCGCTCTCTGATAACTTGATCGTATCAGCTCTTGCTCAGCTGCATCAATGACAGGCGTATCGGCCGTGGCGTCAATCCCTCTGTCGCCATGTAGACTGATACCGATGATAAATTGGACTAGCGGCGCTGGGTCCTTCTTCCAGTCAAAGGCGGCGGATAGAAGGATACACGTGCGGTCCCAGTAATACAAACGGGCACGGTCTCCAAACAACGCGACGCCGAGCAGGAATGTCCGCGGGCGCGCGCGGAATGCGACGGAGGCGTAAGCCTGCATGTCGTTCCACGTGTCCACTCGTGTCTCGTACGCGTCCCACCACTCGTCCGGGCCCCGTTGGGTGCTCGGGTGATGGACATCATGCGCTGCTGTGGGGTTGACCTGGATGAATGACAGCGCCCGCGACCAGTGTGCGTCTTCGGGTATTTGGTCGTCGTGCATGACGGAGATGTAGGATGGTCGGCTGGAGACCTGGTCGCTGGGGGACAGGTCCCGCCGGATGTTGTACGTGCGGAACTCAGCGTGGCGGGGTTGCTTGGGGAGGGCGTCCTGGGCGACGTGATTCAAAGCCTCGACCTGATTTGTAAATCCGTCAGCCGATCATCCATGACAATGGAACCACGGGAAGTCACCAGCTTGTCGCACGTCTCCGCGGCGGGGTCGATCTTGTTGAGGAGCGTTCGGAAGCTCCTCAGCTTGTATGGCTTACATTCGGGAAGGACGGCGTCGGGGAAACAGATCTTTGTCAGGAACATGTCGAGTGGAATTGGCCCTCCTGTCATCCTAAACGAGTCTATTCTGGGACTGTTTCCCGACTCAACCTACCGAGAGAGTAGCAACGTCAGAATTTACTGGAAAGCCAAGGGACGAAGTAAGATACGGCTGAAGCGATGACTCTAGCTAGCCAGACCGCAATTCGTCGTGATCAGGAACTCACGGCGGGACGTTTGTACCAAGCAGTGCTGTAGTGCGCCATGGGTATGCAAGGGGACTGTCGAGGCGGTCCGTGTCCAGTCTCGTGGATGTTGCGTCGGAGTTCTTTCTGTCAGGCGTCAAGATGGTTGTAGTTTGAAGAGTTGCGAGCAGCCACAAGCCACAAAGGCGCTTCTTTGAATCACGTGACCGCGTGACAGAGCCACACGGTAACAGCCGGGCCCATTGTCCTTAGGTATATAAGAGCACTTGCTGAAAGACTGTCGGAAAATAAGCAAACAGTAACTCACTTTAATTGCGGAAGTAATTAAGTTGTATTTCCGTCAAGGTGAACGACCATTCCATACGATACTATGACTACGGTACTTAAAACAAGAACTTAGAACACCGCAATGAATACTAGTATGTTGGAAGACCGGTGTGCCGATGAAAGCACTGGCAGTGAAGCACATTGAGAAGACTGAAAGCGATCCTAGACGGGGACGGAGTACACCGTAAATCGCACAGATGTCACAGCACAAACACGTACGCGGCCTATTCTTATATCCCACTCCCACTTTCGACGGCTTCCGTCTCTACAGGTTCATTATCGCCGAGTCTCGAGGGGATTGTCTGGGGCTTGACTTGCACGAGCCTCGTCGTGAGCATTTTGCGTTTCCGGCCGACATCTTCATTCTCTTACCTCTTCGCCACTCTCTTCGCCTGTGCTTCCGAGTCCTTGAGTTGGTGTCGTTCCAACGAAACCTTGTACCTCTCCTCCGAGGATTGATTAGTCCTATTAAATGATTATGTACAAACAAAATATCAGGATTAAGTCTCAACGAATAACACATAAGCGGATGTCCCTCAGCTATGGCTCAGCGCTGAGATAAGGGTTAGGATTCCCGAGCGGTGCCTGGTGCTACATAGCAACCATCCAACTACAAAATTTGCCCATCGAGTTTCGCAATGCTGATACACGAGCTGCAAAGTCGAAGAAAGGCGGGTACAGAGCAACACCCGATCTCAGCATAGTCCGGCCACGACCCCTGTCAACCTCCCTCGGCCAGGCAAAAGACTGCAAGAAGACGAGGAATATAAACGAGAAAAATAAAAGGAAAAGGTTACGCAGGTAGTCGAGCCACCGCGAACCGCAGAGGAAATTGTAGATGAGGACTGGGCCTGCGGGCTGGCTTTTGTCGAGGTGAAGGCATCAGCAGAGGAAGACCCCTTTTATCAAAAGGAGACAACTTCTGGGACCGCTTCCGAACGGGAAGCCGTCCAGACGAACTTTATCTGACGTGTTATCGCTTTGCTTTGCTTGTTGTGCTTGTACATCAGCAAATTCTCCCCGATCTGTCGACCGATTACCATCCCATAGTAATCAATTAAAATAAGTACCGGTATTACAATATATACAAGACTTGCGGACGGCTGGGCCATCCATTACATTCGGATGGCACATGTTGTCATACCTCCGCAAGAAGTGAAATCAATGCAAGAACTATATCGATTGCAAGGTTATGTCAGGTTATGCATTTATTATAATCAACTGTCCAGACCCGAGACGGCTGTCGGTCATCGCCCATCACTCGGCCAGATGGTAAACGTCTCGAAACCTGTCCTTCCATAATAGTATCCACGCAGAAATAGAATGTATTCCCAGACACAGGAGATATAATACAAATCTATCGCACGAGATCCAGAGCATTAGAAACAGCATGCCTACCCTGCTTCCGCTGCTGTCCCATCTCCACCACACGTAGACCGACGTGCACTTGCCGCTAGGCTGCTTTCATGATTCCAGTGTGTCAGTGCGGAGCCTGCAGTGTTCACTTGCGCGAGCATGCGCGCAGCCATGCTGATACCACCTTGGCTGGTGTTTTCCACGTCATCGTCCTCGTCGAACGCCTCTGGGAATAAACGGCTACCATACAGCTCAATGAGCAAGCCAATACCCTCGGAAGCAATCACCCGACGTACCTGTTCCACCAGGCAAGGAGCTCGGCGTACGAATCACGAGGCATTTGAGTGTCAATATACTGTACTAGCTCTTGATAGAATGCCCTGTATGCGAAGCCTCCGGTGGTATTGCCAGCACCAAATATGTTTTGAGAAGAAAGAGCAAAATGTACCTATGATGCTGGTGAGCTGCGAGCAGGACACGGATTGGTTCACCCTCACAAGCATGGCACAATATACAATGGCACCCGAGCTTATCTTTGTTACACCGTGAATGGCGGCAATGCCTTTCCTTTTACCACAGCTCAGGGTGTCCTCGGAGGTCGCAGCACTTGGTCCCCGAAACACATGCAAGGCCGCCTCGAAGAAGTAGTATCAGTATATACTTTAGTAGCTGAGAAAGAGAGACATACTTTTACCATGAGCTCATTCTTCATGAAGCCAATGTGCAGGTCGGTCTCGTCCACGGCCTCATCCCGCCAAAGCAAAACGGGCCAATTACGTGACCCAGTGTCATATTTGCGGTCTTTCTTTGCCAGCCCTTCCTTGACCCTGGATTTGACTTAGCTAGGGGGCAGGATGATGTAGAAGCACTCACACTGGGTCCGTCCAATCATAGATTGTGGGACACAGGAGCCGGCCGCACTCCTCATGACGGAATCCTCGCATGTTCTTCTTCAGCGGGAGAGCTGGCACGAAGTCATGCCAGTCTTGAATGCAACGCTTGACACCACTGATGTCATCTGCGCGGGCCGCCTTCCGTCCGTCTTCGAGCTAAAATATATTGTCAGAGTATACATGTGAGCTGAGTGTATCGGCCTTACCGCCCGTGCAATGGGTACAGATCCGCCAGGGCCACGCCTGCGTAGTTCATCACGAATCCAAGGGGCAAGCTCTAAAAGTTCGGCGTATAGTGCATGATGCCGCTGTTGCCTGTCAAGCCATGTCAGTATGAGGTCTATTTTATGGCTGGTCACACACACCTCTTGGTGTAGTGTGACTTGTCTAGGAGCGGGTTATTAGAGAACCCGTGGTCTAGAATAAGTCCGCGTAAAAATCTTGCCCTTGCTGATTAGTCGTCTATCTATCTCGTCGCTCCTTTTCCTACGAGCACGATAAATGTAAAAGCATGGACAGTAGGTCTCATACACCGCCACATTACCTGGTGACACGAGAAGGACCACAGTCGAATATGTCGTCGTCGTTGTCGGCTGCACCAAAGACACGGCCAGGAACAATGACAGGACTGCTGGGGGCGTTCTGAGCTCGTTCCTGATGGGTAGGTCCCGACGGGGGCAGTGTGACAGTAGGCGTCTGAGTACGTGTGAGATTCGAAGTCGCTGGCGAAGGCATGATGGGGGAGGCGAAAAAGGTAAGTTGGGACCCTGAGCTAGGCCCCGACGTTCCATTCTTATCTGAGAACCAACAATCAACAGAGTTTTGAAACCCCGACGTGCACATGACCTACGCGCAACGCGAAGGTCATGTGACTAATTTATGGCGCGTCCGAATCCTGACTGTTGTTGCAGCCGCAGATCTGAGAATCATATTGATTCCTGAGGCTACCGTGACTGACGTGTTTCTACAAGTCAGCATAATCATCCTGTATGTCTTCAAAATCCTGGATGCCATCATCGTCATCTCCGTCCTCAGCATCTTCGGGTTCCAGCCCATCGTCCTCACTGGCATCCAAAGACTCAGCATCCCGATTACCAGTCTCTGGAGCTTCACTGGGGCACTCCGGATCATCCAGGATGTCTTCCATATCAAGGTCATAGTTCGGGATTGAAGTGAGATGGGTTCCGGGTACGTGACCCACACCCACTCCAATATTTCGTACAAACATATCCCGGTCGACAAATCTTCAGATAGCCGTTAGCATCATACCTCTGTCAGGCTCGAAAAAAATATTAAAATACCTGTTCACGTAGTAGTAGTTGAAATCCCCGTCCTTGTCCCGAGCTATGGAAGGGGCCAGCAGCTCGGTAGTTCTTCCATCTTGATATGCTGGAATAATATGCGCACCCCGTATAACATGGCTTGGATCGACAAAACCGAATGCATCCGCCGAATTCCCAGGAATGAATTGCAATGCGTCGAGGCGGCAAGACGGCGTACTAGTAGGCTCTGTGCTTTCAAGGTGTTTGAACCAGCGGACCCATAGAAAATCGAAACATTCAGACTCCACACCAGAAGGGAGTGCATCCCCTTCAACTTGCACATGAAATATCCCAAGTACCTGTGCATAAGCGCAAGCCCCAAATGAGCCTGAACCTAGAGAAACGAAAATATACCGTTTGTCCGTGCCGGGGTTGACTGTATCCTGGTCACGTCGAATGTCGTATGTGGTGAAGTGGAATCGGACCGTCGAATGAGCATATAGACGATCATCCTTGTAATAAATCGAAACACCAGCAAGGTCTGCAGTATCTCCGCCGAACCGTTCAATAAGCCGGTACCGAAGATGGTCATCAAGACGCGGGGCGAAGTCCTGGAAGCGTTAATACTACGTGCTCAGTATTAGCCGCGAGAAAGGCAGCGTGAGGCCTACTGTGAGTGCAGGATCATCTTCCAATTCTGCAAACCACCGGTGAAGATAGATCGCATTCCTCGATCTCTCCTCCTGGCCAATGGCATATTGGTTCCGAAGTGTGGACGAACCATCGTCGGACTCCGTATCGCGCTTCTTGCCAGGGACAAAGATTCCTAGCTCACGTAGCTCTTGCTCCATTCACGTCATTTCCGAGGAACGAATGTCCAATCGTACAACTTGGCCCGTCATACCTGCATTCTTGTTCGTGCGCTCATAGTTCGCTTTGACAATTCGATGCTCTAGTTCTGACTGAATCGTCGTTACCACAATGTGCCAAAAGCAGAGATAATTCACGGCGTACCGTTTGCGTAGAGTATGAATCCGTAGTACCCAGACACCTAATTGTATCCACGTAGTCTCCAAGCGCATGCAGCTTGTATCGTTGAAGGTTCAGAGTTCGATGGCGTCGTCCCGACGCTGTTGCGGCACTTGATGGGTTTGCTGCTCCAGAGCCAGCCTGACGCCTAGCATCAGCTCGTGCACGGGCCGCGCATTCTCGCTCGGTCTCTCGGGTGTCAAATGCAGCACATGTTCCTGATTTGAAAGATCGCAGTTTCTTCCCGAGGGCCGTGGTGGCAGAGTCCAAGAGCTGTAGAGAGGTATCTGTGTGCATACGGAGCTTCGCAAGAGCGTGCCATTCCGCGAGAAGATATAGGACATCAAGCACATGCTCATTGTGTGGAGATGGGAGCAAGCCTTCAAAGCATGGATAGGCACACTGGAAAGGGGGTTACGCACGTCACAAATCACATGCATCGCGAGATGAAAGCGTACCTGTAGAATATCTTCAAAATCTCGCGCTGCTAGCTTCTTCATCGATGACACGTCCACTGAAAACTTGCGGATTGTTGATCGCCCTGCCGGAAGCTGAAAATGTCATTGTGAGTACTGGCCAGGGTAACCGCACAAAGGAGCCGCACAGGAGCCGCACTTACCGCCGGTTCAGCTCGTTTACTGTGTTCACGTCGTGTGCCTCGAGAATTCTGATAAGGTGCGTGAAAACCGCCTTCCAAACGCCGAGCTCGAACTCATGCATGAGATCGACAGCCAGCATACGAAAGAAATTGAAGCCGAAGGCAGACAGCCGGGCGGAAAAGGTGTTCTGAACGCAACTGTCAGCAAGTAGCATCGTAACAGAGCTGTAATACATACATGTGACGGCACGAGAGACTCCGCCTTGAGCACGTCCTCTACCCTGTCCCCGTTGACTACGTATCCTGCATCATATATGAGCTTACGTGCTTCACGAACCCTAGCACGCCGCGCATCGTCGTCTGTTCTGGTAGCCTGCTGTCGCAATGTTCGATCTTCCTTGGAACCTAGGTCAGCCAGCTTGTCCTTGGTGACCAAGCATCTTGGACACGGGCATTGGCCCATATCCCTGACTGTGGCAATCAACACTCTAATGGGACTGTGAGTCACTCATGCAATGACCACAGGTTATGACTCGGACTCACTTCTCCGGATAATCAGCCGAATAAACGAATATGCGCGGGAATATGCGCCGCTCTATACCGTCGACGCATGTGATCACGATGCCGTGCTCGTACGCTTCCATGAACTCATCATCGAGAAGGGTTTTCCAGGCGCCCTGGAAGAGTTCTCGCCGGCAATGGGCCAACAGGGGTGCGGCGGCACCGGAACTGAGCTTACCGCCCCGACTATCTCGCAGAACATCATGAATGGAATCGGGAAGCTAGAAATATCACCGTAAGACGAATACAAAGCAGGGTCCAGCAGAGAAACTCACAGAGGGAAAGTAGCCTATATGATGCGCAGCGTGAGACTGGGGTTGACAGCGCACGTACTTCGACTGATTCCCGAAATACATGTATGCCGGCCACAACTTAGCTTGCCCGAATTGAGCAACATGTGTGCTGTCTGATGCCAACATAATAGCAGCTATCGCCCTTGGGCGGGTGCACCCAGGTTCCTGCGCCTGTTGTTGTAATTCAGCGTCTGCTTCCAGCCACGCGCGAGAGGTATATAACTCGTCAAAGATGCGCTCAGCCTCAGGCTCTCCGGAGGCGTCGGGCTTCGTACGAAACTGTTCGTAAGGATGGAAATGGAAATCTCTGGATGCCGCATCGTGTCCAAAGACAGCACGGATGACGCCGGGGATAGACCGATGCCAGAAACCAGGTATAGCAAAGGGAATGCCCTCCACGAGGACCTCGGGAGGCTCTTCAGTCAACGTTTCGGAGCGCGCAGCGGCACGAGCAGTGGCGGCATCAGCTCTGCGAACCGCGTTGGTTGTCTTGATCCCTGACGGAATCCCAATAGTGATCGAGGATTCCTTCCATCCGCTTCGAGGATCCTGCCACGGAAGGGGTGTTTCATCCAGCAACTTGTCCAATCTTTTGAAGTCGATGCCTCGAATCTCCTCCGGTTTGAAATGGGGTGATGTGATTACTTCCTGCATCCGTTCCCGCTCTCCCAAGGACTTCGAGTTAGCGGATGTCCAATAATGATAGGCATAAAGCCACGTTGATAGATTGGGATATGGATGGATGATATCTTGTATGCACCGTGATCTTGACGCCGCTGCCACCTGTGCTGCATTGGGTATGTATCGCTGCTCCGGTGATACGCTCTCGCTGGGTATACAGGATGGGCGGGACGGATATCTTCTCCACAAACCGAATGCATTGGGTGACGTACATACACTACTCTCTGTGGGTGTTCCACTGTGTTGTGGGACAGTGCCAGATATCTCTTCGGGTGCATCGTTCAGCGCGAAGCCTTCCGACGCGTTAGAGTCAGCGCAAACCCCTCCAGGCACTGGATCGCGGAACTCTACAGTGCCAGCATCCTCTGGCAGTTGGTCGCGGACCTTCCAAGTTGCAATGCGTGCTCGTCGGGAACGACGGGGCCCATATGAGGGTGCATCTGAGTCGGCTTGATTATCTACTGGTATCGAGAGTGATGTCTGTATCACCAAGGTCAGCAAAGCCAGAAGTTGGGAGTTACAATGCAACATACCTCGCCTGCTCGCCAGGGAGCCACTGATGTATCAGTCCCGTCTTCCACCGGACCACTGTCTTGCAGTGCTGCCTCCTGTAGTCGTCCCATAAGTGACGAGGGATCGAGCCAACACTGAACGGCTCACCGCCTCCTCCATCCGCCGACGTTTTATCCTTGCCTCATTCTCTTCTCCGAGCCTGTAAGCCTCTCGCGCTCTTCGGAGGACCGCGGGACACCTATCCTTGTGTCTCCTCAGGTAAGCCTCGGTCATAGTCTTACCGCATTCGCATTTTGCCATTGTGTCGTTCGGACTTGGCTGTGTGGGTACTTTGGGGTTCGCTGGGGGAGAATGGCCCGTGACAAGCTGAGAACGTGTGCAGGGTCCCGTCCGGGAGACAGGTCGTATATGTAATTATCGATGCAGGCGTCCGAGTCAGTGCAGAGGCAAGCGGCGCCCACCAGCGAAAGGCAGAATAAGATGTTTGAATGCCCCGAAGCTTTCCAGGCAGAACTGGACGTCAGCATTCACGGGTATTAGCATACGAGTGCAGTCAGTAGCTTGAAACTTAGGAGCCCGAGTCAACGGCCTGAGTCATCTTGGACGCGTCACGGTATACAACATCGTGATTAGAACCGAGCTGGATGACAATCCATTGCGAGACACCGTAATCTTGTGCCTGATTGCAATCGTCTTAGCATTGGCTGCAATCTGGGGCGATGGTTGCAAGGAACGTGACAGCGGGACGGCACTATTATGGGTCGATTACCACGTTAGTCCATCTGACGTAAGTATTGCAAACACTACAAGCCAGTAGCAGCCGCGGGACAATTTGCTGATGTATCTGACGGTTCACGTTTACTATAATTGTCACTGACAGTGTCTGCCCATCCCGTATAGTTAGGAGTATCCTGTACTCAAAGGTCTTGGAGTCGGTGGCGTCATTGACAATTCCGCCGCTGAAATTATTCAACAATATAAATCCATGGACGATGTACGGGATGGCCGGTCGTACATGCACACTTTGATGGGCACGACGCGGATGGCGGTCGGACATGGTGAAGCTTGAAGGCAGACACGGTTGTTAAATTGCTCCAAGTAAATAAGTAACCCAGTGCCGGTGTACTATTCAGGGCCTGCCCGCTCCCAGAGACTTAAGTACGCGTTCTGCAAGCCACACACTGGGTAAAGAGACGGTGACAGTGTCACTGACAGCGCATCCGATGTCCGTACGCCGTCTCGCGCAGACGTCCTTCCCGAGTCCAGTCAGCAGGGTGTGTTCGCAATGATAATCGTTGACCGCTGAGCGTCTATCACTGCGAGCATGCCCTCTTATGAGGATATGCTTCACGTCGCGGAATCTCTCCCTCGCGCCTGTATCCGAGCGATCGACCGTATCGACTGCCACAGAGCGGGTCATCAGAAGTCCAAATGGTCTGATATTGGGGCCTCGGGGACTTGAATTTGCCTCTGCAACATGGTCCGACTGCAAACGGCTGTTAGTTCTCGGCATACGAGGCTGCAATTGACCAAGACGTGTGCAAGTGAGGCCCCTTGCCGTTCTCTTCCACCTCTCCGCCGTGCACGCGTCTCAGTGCACGCGCGAGGTATCAATGTGCGGTCGGGGCTTCTCGCGTCACCCGTGTATTCTTGCAGGCTCCCCTCATTCGTTCCCCCTTGCTCGCTTTCGGGGGGAAGTGCAAGAGGGGCACGAAGTCACGGTTATACTCAGGGTTAGGGCCCCATTTGTGGTCAGTGGTCCCGAAGCGGGTGCGTTGCTGAATAGTCAGGTGGGGAGAGGGAGAGGGTGAGGATGTGGATCTCTATCGATGTCCCTGCCCGCCACTGGCAGCGATATCGCGCAGTTGCTCTGACCGGCAGAGTATGTACGATATTGGCGATGCGGTTCGTGCATCTGTATTGCGACCGCAAACATCGTTTTTCAGCGGGTGCTTGACACATAGGTTCGCGTGATGCAGTGCATCTCCGAAGAGCTTGAGAGCGGTTGTCGGGTTCATGCGTGGTCTCTTGGGAAGGTATCTGTGGATGGCCAGTCCGCATGATCGCCGGCAGGTGCGATGTGAGACAAATGCGTTGCGAAAGTGGGTAACGAGCGGCTAACTATACGGTACAAGGTCATAACACTGTCAACAGTAAGTACGTCCTCAATGTAGACTCGGATCATGATTGGTCACAGCAGTCCTTTGAGTTGGTTGTGAAAGTAGCATAGAGATGGATGTCTAGTTACGCTTACCGCATTGTGTTCACTGGTAGATAGAACGGAGAGAGACAGATGCGCGGACATCGCTTACTTCCAATTTTTGTCGTTATAATTAGCAACTAGTACCTAAGACGCGGAGGAAGATAAAGCAAGCAAAACTGAGCACGGCGACACGGAACAGAGTTCGCGATAATAGTATGTACACAAGGGTATCGAGGAGAGATAAACACCGGAGACAGAGAAGAAATATGGAAAATGCGTGCGATGTCAGGTCTCAGCCCGATCGCTGTTGAGCGCGGCGCGTCTGCGAACGCGTCACAATCCGAGTAGTCCCTTGAGACGACGACGTGGCGTTATTCCGACGAGCAGCGCTCCTCGTGTTTCTGGCTACCGGCGTCCTTGATGCCACCGGGGCCCTGTGTCGCGAGCGCTTCTGCGCTAACTCTTCATTGGCAGGCTCTTCCTCGACCGATGAGCCCTTCCTCTTGCGCGTCCGGAGCGCAGTGGCTTGTTGCCCAACGACGGGCTGAGGAACCTTGGCAGGCGGCACTGCCGCTTTCTGCTTGGTATTCCGGGCAGGAGGTACAGCCAACGTGTTCCTTGCATTCGAGGGCTTTGGCTTCAGCTGGCTCGTGCCATGAGCTTGCTGCCCCGGCTTGGGCACTTGAGCTGACTTGGAAGTCCGAGAGAGTCTTGAGTTCCTACCGGATTCCGCCTTCAGACGCGCAGCATTCAACGCCGCCGCGACCTCTTGCTTCTGCTGTGCACTACGTCTTTCCAAGGGCTCAAAGGCGATCGCTGCATCTCCAGCTTCCGCCGGCCAATCCGCTGAATCCAGAGCTTCCTGCATAACTGAGATAACTCTATCGTGCGTGAGCATATTCTGTTCTTCCAGTGGGATATGCTTCTTGTACTGTTCATCAAAATAGTGGCTGCGGACGATGGAAGCAAAGTTCCTGATGCAAGCAGTCAGCGGAGGGTTGTCGGCGACAGTGACATTGGGTGCATCGTCAGTAAGGAAGGTCTTCTTGTTGCGATCGGATGGGTACGTGTCGTATAGAGAAGGGAGAAACTCGACAGCTGGCTTGTCAATCCGCTTCTGGGTGATGTAGCACGGAGTGTGGCGGATAACAATAAAGACTAAGACCCAGAAGAACGACTCCAGGTCATGCCATGCTTCATGGTCCGCCTCATCATCAACCCAGCGATCAATAGCCATGAATGGTGGAGTGCCCTTAGGCAAACTGATCAATAAGAGCACAAAACCACTGTAAAGCCGACGTACCGTCAGATAGTGTAGTTCCGTTGCTAGGTCAGGCATGGTGTCCACTGTTGCTAATTCAGGGTCTATGAGGAATCCTCGGGCGCCCAATTCCCTTTCCGGATATACGCTGATCATGATGTTATGGGGGCTGATATCACGGTGCAGAACACCGTTGGAACACATGTTCCTGTGCCCTGAACAGCTAGTGAGCAGGGCTGAAGTCCGAGTTCAGTGCCACTCACCCTCCACGGCGTCTCGAATAGCGTGTAGCAGCTGCTTTGTCGATTTGAAGCGATCCAGGGGAATACCGACCGATGACAAGACGCAACGATGATGGATGCGCTCGGTGAGATCTGTCCCTTCCTCGTTCAGCCTTGCAGCAGCGGTACAGCAGGGCATTTCCGTCGAAACGGGATCTGGGACATCGAAGTCGTGGTAGAAGCGGGCCACGCCAAAAACCGACTCCGCCCCCTTGTAGATCGACCCATAAATCTCCCCTTCCGTCCAACGGCTCTCATTTCGCCACGTGTCCTTGATGACAACGAAACCGTCATCGCTCCGGTCGGCTCTCTTCGCGAGCCAGACTCGAGTTCCGCGTCCGCGGATGAACCTGCTATAAAACATCGGTCGTCCGATGGAGATGAAAGTTTCATACAGGCCTGGCTTCTGTGGGGATTCCACTATGATGCGGGTGCTCTCGCCGTCTAAGGTGTCTCCGTCGCGATGTGGCGTGTACTCCGACAGGATCCCAAGATGCACCGCCTCGTCGTAGCAGCTGTGAACGAGCGCAAGCTCAGCCTTGGTACTGAGACTCGTATGCGCCGTCCTGTCGATCCCGCTATTGGCAAACTTGGCGAGGCCGACGACGAACGTGATCAACGGAGCAGGGTCGACTTTATAGTGTACGGGATCAGAGACGATGATGGACGATCTGTCCCATCGGAAGAAACGGACGACATCGCCAAAGAAGCCCATGCCGAGGAGGAAGCAGCGGGGGACGGCACGGTACGCCATGACGGCATATTCCTGGATCTGATTCCACGTCTTCAACTGCACCTCGGTGAATTCATGTTCTCCCGCGCTTGTCGACACCCTCTGGTACCACGGATCCTCTTGCTCCGTGGCCTTCACCTCTATTACGCCCAATCCGCGAGCCCAGTAATCGCTCGAGGAACCGCTGTTCTTACTTTTTCTCCGTGGTTGGATGGATAGGTCGGGTGTAGTTCGGAAACCGCCAATCTCCTCTGCCGGGCGTAGGTCTCCACAAACGTCGAACTTTACAGGCAAGGGACGACCTGTAACGGCCTTGTTGGCAATTTCATTTAGCGCATCAGCCTTCGACACCAAGACAGGTGAGTCCACTAGTACCACTTTGAGAAATCGCAGCTTACCAGAGGTGAATACATCAGTCGTTCGGACCGTTTGCTGGCTCCAATAATGGTTGGGTCGACTCGGCATAGCAAGTTAGTGATATTGACTACGCTCTCGTTCTTCACGCCGCAAACCTTCATCCCCGGGAAGCAGTCGATTTCCAGAAAGGAATCAATATCCACCGGTCCATGGACCGACTTGGCAGCTTCCGCGCCTGCGACCTGACGGTGCACAGTCTGTTTAAGCTTTTCGGAAGAAAATTTGTGGTAGAGATCGACACGGTCATTATTAGAGAGGTGAGATCGAGAGCGAGAATAATCCAGGCGATTCGCATTACCATTGCGAGGAGGAGCAGAGCGGGCAATGCGGGCAGGCATTTCGTGAGTCTCGGGGGCTGGTGAACGTGAATGTCAAAGGACGTACGTTGCGAAGCCGCAGAGAATCTTGCTCAAATAAGGGCATAGTTTGGTCGCTTGTGGCCTTGTTTGGCTCCTGTTGAATTCTGTGTTTGTGCAGTGTGGCAGAATCGATGAAGATGGTAAGCGACCACGAACGGTGACACTGTCACGTCACGATACGCGTATGCTTGTGCTGTCACACGTGGGCACAGCCACAGCAACCCCTAACCACACCTAGGTTTATATTCCATTCCAGATTCCGTCAGTTTTTCTACACACTCCGTTGCAATATGCTACGGACAGAAGTGGTCAATGCAACAGCGAACTTCGCCCCTCGTCCACGCTCGTACTAATTAAGTAGAAAAATTGGGCAGCAGGCCAAATTCGTGCCCATACTTCCAGATGCCTCTGACGATACACGCGCGAGGTCACACAAATGGAGTTACTCGCTGGACCAGGACTTCCACCAAACTGCAATCACTCGGCGGGCAACGCCGACGACGTTATAAGGAGATTCTGAATATATGATTACCTTTCACTCGGCCACGGCACGCATACATCTAAACGTATCGCAAACACCACTCCCGCAGCGCCGCCTCCCTCTCCCGGGCCTCATCGTCGAGGTGTTCCGAGCCGACACCGACTACGCCTGCTTCAGTCACATCACTGTCCACTGTGCATCTCCATCTCTTCTCTTTACTCCCTTGTTGAACTAGGCACTGACTTAGCTGCCAGGTTCTACAACGTACCATAACGTACCGGAACCCTCTGGAACATTCTGGTATATTCCATTATTGTACAAGGCATAGAGCTCATGTGGGTCAGTGACATCATAGGTGGAGCTCAGTAGGATTATAGATATTCCACGTAGCTTAGTCAGCCTATGGGCCACAGTGTATATAAACCCTGCAGCTCTGCTGCCTAATCCTCCACCGCCTCCGCCTCCTCGAGCGCCTCTTGCGCGAGGACTTCCGCGAACGCGTTCGCGTACACCGCCTGGTAGGCGTCGTGCTCGAGCGCCCACATGTTGCCCATGCGCGGCTTGGGCATGCCGTCGTCCTCGATGTGCGGGAGCTCGATACCGCGCTCTTCGAGGTCGGACGCGAGGTTCTCCCGGGCTAGGATCTGCGCGTAGGCGCGCGCGAGGCCTTCGGTGTAGACTTCGCACTCAAAGCCGTCGCGCGGGGCTCGTCCCATCCCGACGGCGAGACAGGCGAAGGATTCCGGCGGTGGTCCTCGGGCGGTCGTCGGTTGCGGGTGCTCTGCTCCCTGCTCACAAGATGTTGCCTCCTGGCTGGGATGCTGCATGTGGTGTGCTGGCGGCAGCAGCTCCTGCTCGGAAGGTTCGACTTTGACCTGTGGACCAGGCGAAGTCGGTGGAGAGGGCGTCGAGGAAGGCGCCCGCTCGACAGTCGCGGTCGGCGCTGCTGACGGGTCTTGTTCGGGACCCTCCGCCTCCTCGGTAGTCGGCACGCCAATAGGCTCGAGGGAACGCTCAGGGGCGTCGTCCTCCAGCGTGCAAGGTGAGAGTTGGCCGAGCTCGCGGAGCGGTGAGCTTCGCGCAGGTGACGGTGAGGATGGGAGGGAGTCTCCGGTAGCCACGGCGGGGGATTGGGCGACACTGATCTCTTCACGGGAGACAGATGGAGGTCTCTCTGAAGAGTCATCGGGGCAGCAGGGCGTTTCTGCAACATGTTCGACGACCTCGGTGGCATCAATGGGATCGTCGCTACCGACGGTTTTGTCTGTGCTCTGGACCTCACTGTCGTCTTCGCCTTCCGCTGCATCATTTCCAGCGTCAGCTATGACATCGCCTCCCTTCTCAGCAGCTGAGGAGGTATCCCTCTCCTCTTTGATGCCTTGCTCTTGCTCCCGAAAGCTAGCCTGCTCTTCCAGGTGCTCGCATTCCTCAGCTCGCTTCTCGACACCGACTAGGAAGGCAGCGACTAACTTGCGGACCAGCCGCTCCTTCCGCTCTTCAAACGTCAGTTTCGAGATTTGGGTAGGAGCCTCGAAGGCTCCTGGCATCCAGGCTTCGTCATCAAAATCCTCGGGCTCGACGCCCATTAGCCGGAACTTCTCCAGGCTCTTGGGCGGGAGATTGTTCTTTCCGATCGTCAGTAGAGCTCGATGTAGTCCGGTGGAGTACAACGTACTTTGTTTATGTCACTGCAGGCTGTCAAAGCCTTGTGGCACTGGACGTATATACGCCACTCCTGGAAAGACGAAAGATATAGGCCTCGGTGGGAGGAGTATGGCACAAGCACATACCCTATATCCCATCCCCTTCTTCTCGAGAACACTAACAATCCAGGTCCGGAACAGGACTCTCGCCACCTTTCTGTTGAATTCAAGAAGCCTGGACTTCAGCAGCATGTGTTTCGCCGGAGAGAGGGGGAAAAACAAGTCAGTATGAAAATCTAGCTTCTTGAAGGACGGCAGCTCCCTCAGGAGCGGAGCAGGACGCTTTTTCGCGAAATACTTGATGCTCTCGCCCTGGGGAGCGAAGAATGGCTCGGGTGCGTCGGAATCATCTTCAGAAGCGCGCGAGGAATGACAACCCTTCCCGTCGTTCTCCTTATGCCTGTCCGATGGAGGTCGAAATTTGCTGGAGGCGGGACAAACGGGTAAAGGCACGTAGCCTCTGTTGGTCTTGTTGGATAGTGGCGGGGGCATGAAGTGGCTGGAACGTCGGGAAAGCTGGGGGCTTGTGGTTGAAAAAAGTGGGGGAGGCGGAAGGCTGTCACGCGCGACTCAGTGGATGGGGGTGTGGTTGAAGTGCAAGTCAAACTCGCTGTGGCTCATGGAGTCTGACTTTAAAGACGACGCGTCCGTGCACGTGATATGATTCTGATTTTGTGGCATCATTGGTAATCGGGGGCTTGTTCTTTCTTCGTCATTCGGGAAGTGACGCTAAGCCAGCGATATGGATGGTGGGCTAAGAGCTGGCAGGCATGTACAGTATTGGTTCCATTCTACTTCCTTAAATATCCCCGTGCTCCGATTGCCTTCTTACCAGTTGTTCGTCCTTGTGGACATTCGCCGCTATGCCATGATGTGAGAATAGGAAAGGCGTCGGATGGTGGAATAAAATACACATGAATAAGTTATAAACAAAGATATTGTGAAAAACGGTATACCACAGTGAAATGGATGCTTCAGCATTACCAAGAATAGCCAGCCCAGAGAGACTAGCGCTACAGATTAGAGCAGACAAAAGGAAACGGTCCCATGTCCAAGGAAATGAAGAAATCAATACCTCTTCCCCGACCGCGTCCTATGATCCCCCGGGCTAGCAGCAGCTTTACTACCCTTGGAGCTCGCTTTGCTGCGCGTAATCCTTGTACTGGCCGCCTTCCCGGCATTCTTGGCTTTGGGCTCGGACTTTACCCTGCTGAGGCCGGCGCGGGGGGGTCGTTTCATTCGCTCAATATCGTCCTCATCCGCCGACTCGGGAGCGCGTCCTTTGCCTTTGACGTCGGCGGGTGCAGGTTCTGGTTCTTTGGCATCCTCGATGTGGATCCGTTTGGAACGCCGCGGAGGGTGGCGCTCACGAAGGCCGAATGCATTCACAAGTGTGCGCTTGCTGGCAGTCGAATTTTGTTTATGGACCAGCTGGCGCGTTGACTTGAACCGCCATAATGGTATTCCCACCGACAACAAGACGCATCTATGATGCACAAGATCCTTAAACACGGCCTCGCCCAGCTTCTCGTTGACCATCCAGCCCGAGGCGACGTGCCCTCGGTCCCGCAGGACGCTGAACGCGCGCCCCGACGCGCCGTATATTGCACGATAAATATTACCCTCGGTCCAGCGCTCGCGATCGCGCCAGTAGTCTTTGACCACGACAAACCCCGCCTCCTTCCCATCCCCACAAAGCTTTCGTGCGAGCCAAACGCGCGTGCCGCGCCCGAAAATTGAGTTGGCGCAGAAGAGCGGGGGGGCCGATGGTGACGAAGCGGTCCCTGATGGTGTCACCAGGCTCCGGGCGGGGTATATCGATGAACGTGCTGTCCACGACGAGGTCGTTGTATCCCTTGTGCAGCGGCTCGTACTTGGGCAGCAGTCGCGAGTTGAACGCCTCCTGGTACTTCTCCTTCACCAGCTTGCGCTCCGCGGGCCCGGTGATGGGCATGCGCACGCTCTCGTCGATCCCGCTACGCGCGTGGCTCGCAAACCCCACGAGGAACTCGATCAGCGGCGTCGGGTCCGTCTTGTACCGGATGGGCCCGGAGACGAGCATGCTGGAGCGGTCCCAGCGGAAGAGGCGCGCGACGTTGCCAAAGACGCCCACTGCGAAGAAGAAGCACCGCGACGCAGCGCGGAAGGACACGACGGCGTACTCCTGCAGCTGGTTCCAGGACTCGACCTCTGTCTGGTTCATCTTGGGGTCTTTTTGAGGTCGGGCCTGTACCGCCGGAAGGTTAAGCAGGACATTCCCGCTACCGTAGGTAGTGGGTCTTGGACCCCCCGGCCGTTCGCAGGTTTCCTGCGATCGTTTCAAGATCTACGCGATCTATTTGACACTATTTGGCTCTTAACCGTATATGGCGGACGGCAGGACCGGCACACGGCTTTGGACCAATCAAAGATGGGGTCCTCAAAGGACCCCGATTGTAGAACCACGTGGCATCTCTCTTTCCATCTTTAGCCAAGGTGGCGGATGCTGGTCAAGGGACTCAAGAGAACAGACATGACCTAGCTTGGGGCGTTGGAGATGCGGTCTCCAGGTGAAAGCAGCATACTTCAATGTCAGCTGTTTTACATAAATGACTTGTATACTCAGAACCTGAGGGAGGAGTGAGTGGACATCTCTTCAAATCGTTGAGGTGAATGCTCAGTCGGAAATCATGGCTGGAACACAACT